AAGTACTTAAGGCTCGTAACGTACAACAATCCTTAACCTTTATTAGATGTTTTAAGAAAGTTTGAAGATGAGAAGAGAGAGACACTCTAAAGGGAGACTAAGACTCAACCTAATGTTCTCATACAAAGTGCACCTATGATTGGGATAAAAGGGAATGCTACCTAATGTTATCATGCATGGGTTCGAGCCTAAGGTCTATCATAACCTCTCTTAAACAAGAAAGATTAGAGATCCTAAGGGAACATGGCAAAGAAGAAAGGAGAAGAAGAAGAAGGCATAAGAAAAATGCAATATGCAAACATGTAATGCACAATTAGAATGAAAGTGAGGGAGGAACAAAGTGTGGGGCAGTAGCCTCCACAAGCACGTCTCAGCCTCAAGAATGCATATGAGAGATGCAAAGAAGAAGGAAGAAAAAATGCACACAAAAGAGATCAAACAAGTGCACAAAAGTGGGATGAAATGGGAGAAAGAATCCTACAACCATTTGTCATCAACCACAATGCCCAAAGGAAAACCAAAAATAAAGAGATGAGGATATAACACAAAGTGATGATGGGAGATGAGATGAGGGCAGCAAGGAACTCATAAATACCGCTCAGCCAAAAGCATCACCAAGATTATGCAAACAAAAGCACAAAAGAGTCCTCAAAGAATCACCATTCATGACATGTTCCAAGTGCCTCCAAAGGAGGGACTCGACCATCTAAAATGGGATTCAAAAGTCATTGGACAGAAGCAAAGATGAGAGGAAAAAGTACATAAACCAAAGAAGGAAAATCACAAAAGATAATGCAAGAATAGGCATGGAAGAAGACCTACGTCTTAAGCACATTCAACACTTGAACTTCAAGTGGAAATCCTAAAAAGAAATGCAAATCTCAACAAGCAATGAACAAGTTAATAACCTAAAAATGAGTATCTAGCAAGCTCAACATGTTGACAATAGGAATCAAGAAGAGTTGAGAGCTCAAGGGATCCATAGAAGTCATTTCCCATTCAAACTAGGTCAAGTGCTTGTATGAACCTCCCTTAGAAATAACATGACTTGCAAGTTACCTCAAAAATAGGAAAAAGGCTCAAATAATCTCAAATAAAATCTCAAATGAACATAAAAGAGTTGGAAACCATAGGCCAAAAGATCACAACCAAAGTCACTTTAAAGCATCATCAAAGAATTTGATTCACAAGGATGCTCCACTTTGAAGGAGTGTAATTTTGAAATGCCCAAATTGAAAATGGAAGCTCATGCACACGTGAATTTCCCTCCAATTACACTTGCATTTCCTTTGGATCAGCCGCTGAGAGTGTGAATTAATCATGTGGATTGAAATCTTCCCTTAAATTGATCCAATGGTGGATATTTGATGTGAGACTTCTTCTTGAAGTAAACTTGAATTGCACGTGTTCTAGCTCTCATGCCTCAAATCCAATTTGTGCATCTTGCTTGTTGGATAAATAAAAATCAAAATGAATACAAATATGGCATGAAAATGAATTAAAACCACTTCAATTGAATTCATGACTTCAAGCTTAATTTTCCATTGAATTTCTTCACCAATCTCTCTATCCTTGCCAAATTCATGACAAACTTATGTTCTAGGATGAAATTGATATCATTTGAAGCAACTTTCATGTTGGATAAAGTTTCATTTGAAGTGCTTAAGATCATGAAAAGGACTTATAATGAAAATGACCTATAATCTCACTTTCCCAAAATACCCCTTCCTTGCAAGCCTCATAACTTGAGTTATGCAAATTAGATGAAGGACTTATAGGAAGTTTTAGAAAGCTAAGATCATGAGGAACAACTTTCATGTTCATCAAAAGTTGAAGAGAAACATGATTCTAAGTCGAAAGTGCGTTGGAAGTTGGTTGACTTTTGTTGACTGAAAATATGATTCATCTGAGACCTCTAACTTGCCAACATCATAACTTGAGTTCTAGAAACCCAATGGATGAGTTCTAGTTTTCAAAAGAAAGCTAGGAAAATGCTATACAAGTCTCATGTTTATGTCAAAGTGAGATTACACTTGTATCTTGAGATATGTGGTCTTGAAGTTAGGCACTAAATAGGGGATTTTACACTGACAAACCTCTGAAACCCTAATTTAGTAACTTCTCACACTCTTGATTCTTATTGAATTGATCTTGAAATAACATCTTAGATGCCTAAAAACAACTTTCCATGAATCTAAAGACTTAGAACTAAGCCTTAATCTCCTTCAAATCCACAATGGATCCTGCACTAGGCAGATGAAACCCTAGGTGTGCAATTATTTGATTGCAACCTCTTGCACATGATATAACAACTTGCATGAGCTCCATAATGGCTCTCAAAGCACTCAATGAGCTTCACAACATCTCATATCCATATCCATGAACTTGTGATCTTCAGATAATCTTTAATTGGCCTCCAAGATAGGAGATAAGCAATATACATCCATTCACCTTCTCAGAGAGCTCTGACCAGCTTCTGATGATTTGATGGGCACTCATGCTTGCTTGGAACCTTTGACAAACCTTCTCTTGCTATGCACACCTCTTGATCCCCTGCAAATGAACAATGATATGCAAATGCAAATGCTAGAACAATGCAGCCGTAACAATAAGCCAAGTAAAGAAAAGGTTGGGCAAATTTCGGGGTACAACACATATGAATTCATTCGAGCATGTTATCACGATTTTCAAACTCTAGCTTGTTATTAAATTCATTACGAACATTTACCGCCTTAACAATAACCTTTGAACATTCAGAGAAACTTTGTCCGAAGAAACTACTTGTTTCGAGATATTATCGGGGTGCACCATATCTATTGGAAACAATAAAAACAGTAAGCATAACTAATCTACTGCTGTAGAAAAGGATGGAAAATGAACATAGAAACATTTCAGAAATATGTCTCCAGAAAAGTTCATGTTTAACACGTTTCAGAGATACATCTCTAAACATTGCATAAGTTTTTTTTCAACAAAGTTTCATGGTTAACGTGAGCAATGCAGAATAGAATGAACAATCTTTACCTGAAATTCAATCTTCTTTTTCTCCTTGTGATATATTGAACAAAAAAGATGGAGATTTGAAGTGAAAAATGGGATTGAGAATGTAAGGTTTTTAGGGTGAGGGTTAGAGTTGATATAAAGGATGTCAACAATTTGGGGATTGATAATGCAGCTTGAAACTATATCAGATACTTCTAGAGATATATCTTTGAAACAATTTGACACGCGAAGGTGATAGGAAAATTCAAATTGTCGCTCACATCTTCCGGAGACATATTTTCGAAACATCCACGAGACTGATTAACTTTCATGTTTTCTCTAAATGGTTCAAGAGATATATCTCCAAAATAAATTTTTAGCAATTGCATGGGGGGCATTTATAATGATCTTCCTTGAGTGTGAAAAGGGTGCATCCAGAGATATATCTCCAGAAACTAAGGGCATTTTAAGAAATCCGAATGGTATTTATGAAATACATAGTGGCTTAAAAAGTTCTCGGTAAAAATATCACCTACAAGATCATTGGGTTGATTTGGATAAATCCATAAATTTGTGGATTGGATTGGGTTGAATAGCGGGTCACTTAATTTTTTTTCTTATATAATTTTAATGTGTCATATTCTTTTTAAAAAATGCCCCAATATTTTTTTTAAAAATAGTTTAGTTTGATTAGCATTATTCTCTTAACATCAAATGTCTAAACATTCTATAAATTTTATAATAAAATATTTGTAAAAATCAAAAGTTGTATTATGGTAGTACCTAAAACTAAAATTACATAAATTAATTAGAACTCATTAGTATTAGCATCAAAATAATCAAAATGCAAAATCCTAAATAATTCAAAATCTTGATTCACAAAATAAGAAGCTAAAATTAAAACAACCAAGTAAGAATACATCAAAGTCATCATCAAATTACAAAAAGAAAAAAAAAAAAGTAAAGAACATCATTCAAATATCTTCCACAACTCAAAAAGAAGTCTTGACTTCAACATTACTATCTTCAATCAAATTCTAATCATAAAAATATAAATATTAGTTCTTATGTCAATTCATTAAAAAAACCTAAAAAACCAAAATGTATAGTAGTTAATGGTAAACTTTATGAATTTAGTGGATTTTATAGGTTAGGTTTGAGTTTACCTGAAACCCATATATTTTTAACAGTTTTTCATTTTCGAAAATCATATTGTTTCATTTATCCGATCAAGCCCACTTTTTTGAAGAGTGAACTTTATCAGATTTTCTTTTTTGAAGAGTGAACTTTATCAGATTTTATGGATTTGTCCAACCCATATACATCCGTAAAAAATTGTGTTGCATTCTCAAATTGCAATACCGATAACACACAAGAAAGCATATAAAAAAAATCAAAGAATAAAAGCTAATGTGCATTAACCTTTTTAGATTTTGAATTTGGATAATTTGGGAATGAAACGAAAAATACAGAAGTGAGGGTGAAGAGAACAATTTTCATGGATTATATGCAGTATTTGGATTATAAAATCTGAAAAACTTAACATGTAGAATCTAGAATCCGAAAAACATTTTTTAATTAACAAGAGCTTCTAAGAAACTAGAAAAGTTGGAAAAGAAAATCCCATGTATATGACTTAACAACCTCCCATCAGCAAATTGTTTCTCCTTTGTGGGCTTTATTTGGTGATCAATATATCTTTCTTTTTTCTAAAGAAAAAAGTATATTATCAAAATTAACATTTATTAGCAGAAAGGATCCACTCATATTCAACTTCCGATTTAGTTACTACTGAATACAGTAAATTGAAAATCTGGTTGTCTAAAGTCAAACACACATCAAACTCAATATAATATAGAATTAGAAATCACAACTATGAAGCCGAAAAAGAACCAATGTCTGCAATATTATTCAAGCATTCCCTTGTGACCATTATTAGTACTCAACATTCAACACAGTACAGAACAAAGAGTTTATAAACTACATCATGATAGAAACTATCTGAGACACCATGGCAATCATTTGTCAGCAACAAGAGCTTCAATTTTGTTCTCACGATGAGCTTCATGATCCTCGAGGCGACCTGTGACAGCATCATTCTCCCAACGGATCAACGTTGGCACACCAGTGAGCTTGAACCTAGGATCCACCCTCCATGGATGGTGTGGGTTCCTCCATGTTGGTCTGTCTCCAACATAAGCTTTCAAAAGTGCAATCTCATTAGGTGAAGCCTCTAGCTTCTTGAAAATCACTGGCTCAGCTCTCACACAGTCTAAAAAGACAAAGTAAACATCATATAAAACATAACATCATGGATTCTCAAACTGGAGAAGTATCTTGACAACATTTTCTACTAGACAACATATTGCAATTTGTAGTTTTCAATTGTATCTCGTAGTTTTTCCCGTAGGTCTAATATTGTCTCCGGCCATTTAGACTAAGTTCTATCTTAGCCTACTGCCATTTGAGGAGAATTATGCTTCCTTTGCCACAACATCTAATTTCTAATGCAACACTATAAGTTTAAGGAAACAAACCAAAATTCCTCCAAATGGCAAGAGCAAAAGTATCTTAACTCGATAATTTTAGTGTATGTTTGAATTTGTGACGAGTTTAACAGAATCAAAGTGAATAAAACGGTGGCCTACATCGATATAAGAGCTTTAACAAAATCACAATACCACAGTGATTTCGTCAAATTCAAACTAATTCCAAACAATAACTCCATGCTATGTTTGAATTGATGGAACATAACAGGACGGAGCGAAATGGAACATAAGAGAGTGGATGGAATGAAATATAAATTTCACTACATTGTTGAGGTATTTTATTAAAAATGTCTCATTCTATTACTTGCACCCCCAAACCAGATGGAACAAAAAATTGTAGATTGGATGTAACAAGATGGAATTGATTTTATCATATTCCATTTCACTCCATCTATTATTTGCAAATCCAAACAATAAAATCTCATTATTTACCCCCTCTATTCCCCTCCATTCCATCTCATGGAACCGATCCAAACATACCAGTGTTATTTTTCTAGAGTAACAATTTGAACTTTAACACTCTTAATAGTATACAGATCCTTTACCCAAACCAATTTCCGGATCCAATTTTTCTTATGCAGCATTTTCACAAACAGTATATCTACATAGGGCCATTCTATCAAAAAAAAAAAAAAAACCTGACAAATATTTCCAAACTACCAATGAAATTGGATATATCATCAACTTAATTACAGCAAAATCAAGTTTTTATAATGAAATTCACAACAAAACAGTAAAACTCTAGAAAAAATTCATCTGGGTTAGAAAAAAAAACATGCATAGATAAAGCAATCAACTCAGGAAAGAAAAATACCAGGGCACCAGCTGAGAGAGGTAGAAGGGTCATTATCAGCCAAGAAGAGAACGAGGTTTGCTCTGTTTTGAGGAGCCTCTGATCGGAACTTCTCAAACACAGAATCGAAGGTCGATATTGTGGCGGTTAACACCTTCAAAGTCATTCTTCGGTGCTACGAATAAACGCAATTGCAGAATATGATTCCAAGTAGCTTGGGGAAACAAGGCTTATATATTAAAATAAAATAATTTATAATGTATAGATGCTTAAAAATTCTCAAAGATGGAGTAAGTGTGTTATGCATCTGGACTAGAATTACACATTATGTACATGGACTAAATCTGTATAAAAAGAAAGATATCAATAATGTACCTAACCAAATTATTTATAATATCTTCACAATTATTCAGCTACTTTATCTACAAATAATTGTGATGATAAAAACTTTATTTACAAATAGTTGTCTTTTTAATATATATATATATATATATATATATATATATATATATATATATATATATATATATATATATATATATATATATATATATATATATATATATATATATATATATATATATATATATATATATATATATATATATATTGGTTAGACACTAGAAATGAGTTGAGAAACACTGATGACGACAAATAAAGGCGTCTAATGCATTAGGTAACACTCCAACGCTTAAGTCATTATATGAGGAAGAAGATAGAAGTAAAATTGAATTTTATACTTGTTACTTTAATTTGACGCATTTTTTAAATAACAAACTCGATATTTGTTAATAATGAATTGCAAAGAGGCATTGAATGTACATGCAGTTGAGATCGTTTCTGATCTCCAAGATGGTAATTCATGTGTGTTTAGAAGATTTTGGAAGGAATGAGGTCCCCATGCGGTAGTCGGTCGAGGTCGATACGTTTAACCCATAACAGTTGTCCCACAAGCCTTTGTTCGCGCATAGCAGGGCGAAAGTTTCTCTACATTGGCTTTGGACGCCGACCCTTCTATTTATCACCACAGAAGGGCGAAAGGAAAATGTTTCAGTTTGTTGGAAATTTGTGCATTTAATGATCCATGTTTCCAAACGTCTTTTTGTAAGTGCTAACATTACAACTCTTGGAACTTAAACTTCGTGCTACGTGCGAGTGAAAATGAACCAATCTTTGAAAATTCAGTGTTGCTTTCTTTTAGTCACTTTTTAAATTTAGCAACTACCTCCGTCTTTAGCGTTATTTACTCCATTCTTCTTGAAAAGTTAGTGCATTATAGGTAAGAAATCACAAAAGGTACTCACAAATCCCTGAAAAGAACACTATTTTTTGGGTAGATTTCGTTTATCCTTCTACTATTTCTTCTTTTGCGTAGGTGGACGATCTTAATGATGCTTTTATAGAGGCCGACCCCCCTTCTTATTGAGGAATCTTAAGTCCCAGAGGATGAAAGGATATGCGACAAATATGGCTAATGTCTCATTCCCTTCCGTGAACACACTTTCTTTGTTATGGGTCTTTGTCTCCCTTTCACCACCTTTGAGATAGAGGTTCTAAAGTATAACACCCTTTTTTTGTAAAACAATTTTGTTTAATTTAATTGTGCCTTTTTGTGTGATTTAATTACTTGTTATGTGGTTGTCGGGGTAAGTGTCCTTGAACTAGATGTATAGAGAGAGTAAGAGTTCGATATAGTTGTTTAGAATTAATTAGAATTTTATTAATTATTAGAATAAATAGTATTTTATTTGAGTTAATTAAATAGAATAGTAAAATGATAGAATTAGGCCAATGTGGAGAATTCAGAGAAATAAAGGGGAGTAAGGATTTAGGGAGTCACGACAATAGTGTGAATTAAGAAAATTGAGGGTTAATAAGGTAATTGGGAAGAAGTGTGTGTAAAACCCTAAGCTATATTTGAAGGAAGAGAGTTTAGAGAGTTTTACGTAAAACAATATTTTTTGGTGAGAAGAGGCAAAGGCTAGTGCTAAAGGAAGACTCCATTGTTAGAGCTTGAAGTCGTGTCTTGCAAGAAAATCCAAGGTAAGGGGGAGAAGTGACTACCAATTATGTACATTGCATGATGGGAAGTCCTTAATCTCTTTAGGGTTTCCAGGTTTTCCTTTTGATGAATTATTTATGATGAAATTCATGCACTGTTATGCCCTAAAAATCATGTGTTCTTGTTAATGAAACTGAGATGAAAGTGGGTTCATGGGTTGTTGTGAATTTGAAAATCAAAACATGTAAATCCATGATGAATTGAGTGAATTGCATGTTAGTCATAGATAAATGATGTATTGTTGATTTAGATGTTAAAAGATGATAAAAATCCATATGTTTTCATGTACAATGATGTATGGCATGTTTTGGGACTATTAGAGGTCAAAACTTGGGGCCAGGGGTCTGATGAACGGCTGAAAAATAAGAGCGTTCACACAAAATCACGAGCAATTTGGGGTTTTCTGGACTCTTCTATGAGCTATAACACCCCTCTGATTTATATACCAGAGGCGTGCCCAAAATAGGGGTTTTGGCCTGCCGAGTTCTATAGGACGTACCACGTGCTACAGGTAGTTGTAGCAACTCGCTAGATTTTATACCAAGCGAGACGTTTTCGAGTGTAACTTGAGTTTCATGACTCCAAATGAGACGTTGTTCAAAGCATTAGAAATCTAACGCGCCAAGATACCTCATGAGAATGTGAAAATTGAGAAGAAAAAAAAAGGAAGAGAAGAGACGAGAGAAAGCTAGGGCTTGAGGAAGAAGAAGAGAATCCCGTTTTTGAGGTGCAATTGCCAGGAATAACATGGTAAGGGTGGGGTTTCCTTTCGTATAAGGGTATCACATGATAACATGTGGGTGGGTTTCTATATCTCTATGCGATTTTTTTTATCGTCTCTATATTTTGAACAATTGATGTGTAATGATGCAATTGTGTGATAATTCCATTTTGATGTATATTAGATGAATTGGAAGATGGATGAAATGTTAAGTTGTTGTGTGTTGTTAGGAGTCAGAATGTGAAACATGAGTATATGTCTGTTTGTGAAAATTTGGGGTTTTGGGGAGGTTCCAAATCTGATTTTCTTACCAAAAAGTTACAGAAAATTTGATTTTGTCATAGTGGTAACTAGTTACCACTTTTGGTGTAACCGGTCACACTTGAGACAAATTTTATAAAAACTATTATTTTAGGGTGTAATCAATTATAGGTTGTGGTGTAATTGGTTACACTGTCAAAAAGTAGTGTAAGAAAGCAATATTGAAAGAGTGTAACCGGTTACTGGATTAGGTGTAACAAGTTACACTGAGATGGGTTAACCACTATTTTTGAAGAAGTGGTAATTGGTTAACTGTTTTGGGGTAACCGGTTACACCTGCTGTGTCAACTTTGAAAATTCATAACTTGAGTTTCGGGTGTCGCAATGAACTTTATTTTAAAAATAGTTATAGTACCTAGATATGATTTTAAATAGTTTGTAACGGTGTTGGATGATATTCGGTGTGTAAGTTGCGATGCGACAATGTGTGAGAATGGTATGTTTTTATTTGCTACACTACTATAATGATATTGTTAGTAGTATGTCTTTGATGTTTATTGGTCAATTTTGGTGTGGTATAATGATTAAGGTGAATATCATTATACGTTCCATTATTGTTGGTATTGTTACATGTTAATTATGAATCATGCATTATGGTGTTGGACAATGGTCTATTTTTGGTGAGCCTCAATCATATGGTTTGAAATTGGGTGTGAGTAGCCGGTTCAAGGTGAGAATCGGTGAAGCGTTACCTATGGTGATGGTAACGATATTTGGTGGGCTCTGATCGTATGGTGAGGATCGGAGCGAGTGAACCTGAGAGTTCACATTTGGTACCACATGCATTGAGTCTTGAGTTGAGTTTATTTGCATTTGCATACATGTTACATTATGATGTGTGGATTGTTGGAAGTTTGAATTCCATATTGGGTGATTATGCATATGTTTGTGGTGTGCTTACATATTATTATGTATTTATTTATATGATTGTGATTTATCACCCATTCCATTTAAATTTTGCCTTTACATGGGCATCATGCAGATAATCCGCAATAGAGACGTGGATGTGAGTGGAAGAGAGTGCTCTTCTTTATGTTTTTGTTAAGTCGCAGTCTACTCTAATATGTTACACTGGGGGGGTGAACACTTGTGTGTTTATTTTATGTCTTAGAGTTTTCTTATAATTATTATATGTTAGGATTATGTTTGGAAATACTAGGATAATCGATCGTTGATGTTTTCCATTCTATTTATATAAAAATGGAAGTTCATACATGGTTATTTTTGTTATTATTTTTAAATTCAACATGTGTTACATATATTATTATATGAGTTGTTTTTGGTGTTATAGTCGCATCCTAATTGTTGTTGGTTTTACATTGGAGAACCATTGGCATCATATTGGTTAGGGGCTAAGAAAGAGGGTATGTTCCTTCTCCATTTCTACAAGAATTCCATATGACTTGTAGTGGACTAGAACCTCAACGAGTACACACCAAACTTCTATGATCTTTGAATTTTCCTTAGCAGGCTTATCTTCATAAATGAAACAAACATAGTCTGACAGAAAGGGTTAGTTATGCATAGATGCTTGACGTAGATGATATGCAAAGGGTCACAGAATCTAAGGATAAAAATTTGGGGTACATCAATTTCTTTCAGGACAGTCTGTCAGGTCCTTCTCTAGAGTGGTATACGGGTCTGGAAAAGACACATATAAAAAGTTGGAGAGAATTGGGGGAAGTGTTTGTGGTCACTATCAGTACAACAGTGACTTGGCGCCGAATAGGGTGTGTAATACCCCAAATTTTGCCCTAAGATTTGTCGTCGCATTTCATTGCATTTTTATTGCATTTAATCAATTACTAACAAATTTGTGTAGTCGTTTGACTTTTTGCAGGTAAATATCATATGGCATGCATTTTTTTTCTAAAAAGTAAAAATGACATAATTGGCAAGAGGACATGTGTAAGGAGTTGTGAGTGTGAGAGGTTGAGAGTTCGAATCTCACCTTTGTCACTTTTTGTTTTTTATTATTTTTACTCTAAACTTTTCTATCTTTCATTAAAAAATAACAAAAATAGTTTTTTATTATTATTTAATTATTATTTTCGTATTTTAA